TCAGAGCCTGACGCGGGGCTCGAACTCACGGACCGCGAGATCGTGACCTGGCTGAAGTCGGACGCTTAACCGACTGCGCCACCCAGGCGCCCCTGCATTTCACATCTTAAAGTAAGAATGGAAATAATTTTGTGGTATAAAGAAAATATTCTTCAGAAACTTTTATGTTTCAAGTGACTGGATTTACATAATTCTTAGAAGGAAATACCAGGTTTGTCAAATTTATTAGCTATAATAATTTTATTTCACTTAACTGTTCTTTTTCTAGGATTTACTAACGAGACATAAAGTGTTGGTTGCAGACTTCTTAGAACAAAATTATGACACTGTAAGTAGAAGTCCTTTTTAAGATTTTACCTCTTTCTCTCTTCTCCCCTCTCTCTCCTTCTTAGATCTATGGATACTGGCTCCTATTTATGATCCACAACAGACACCAACCATGGTCCACCATGTGCCCAATTTGTCCATTTACCTGGAAGCCACGTCATCAGAAAACTGTGGAAAATTGAGGGCTTTCTTATTTTTCACACCTCTTCCTGTTGTATCAGCTCCAAAAAAAGACTGGTACCTGCTCACTTTGATCGTGATTTAAGAGCATCCATGTTGCCCTTATGAGGCAGTAGGTAGGGGCACCTGGGTGGTTCAGTCAGTTGAGCATCTGATTTCAGCTCAGGTCATGATCTCACGGTTTGTGAGTTTGAGCCCCACATTGGGCTCGCCACTGTCAGCGCAGAGCCCACTTCAGATCCTCTGTCCCACCTCTCTGTCCTCCCTGCTCATGTTCTTTCTCAAAAATAAACAAACACTTAAAAAAAGAAGAGGCAGTAGGTAACCATAAATGGAAGAGCACTCCACCCTCACTAAAAAATAAATCATTTTACTTGCTTGATAATTAGTTTTACTTACTAGTAGAAATACCAGTTCCCTTCTCAAATGGTGAATCCAGCCCATCCTTTTGAGATTCAGCTGAAACATGACTTTTCTAGGAAGCTTTTCCTAATCCCACCTGTCCACATGCATGCATGCACAATTCCCCCACCCCCACTGTTCACGTTGTATTATTATGGAGTGTCTGTACCTTCCTGGCTGGTTCCTGAGCTCCCTGAGAAGCAGGAACCCTGTCTGTCAAACACAGGGTTCAGAGCCTGCTTGCCTGGCTTCAAGACCCAGCTCTGCCTCTTATTAATTGTGTTACTTTGGGTAAGGTAATTTGGGTAATTTTGCACCTACTGCAAAATGAAGATATTAATAATACCTACCTCATTGGGTTGTTTGTAGGAATTTGTAAAGATTTGGAACAATTTTTTTAGGATAATACCATATTAATCCCTCAGTATTAATTTTTGTCATTATTACTTGTATCCCTAATACCTAACTCAATGCCGTACAATGATGGTGTTCAATGAGTATTGGATAAATAGATATATCCAAGAACAGCTATGCTTTTGCTAAATACATAAGCAAGAGTAACAGCATGATTAAAAGGAACATGGCACAAACCTAAAACCACAAATCTTGATCTAGTGTTGGTTCAGATGCTCTAGACCAGTGATGTCCCACTGAAATAAAAGCCACTGTATAATTTAAAAATTTGTAGTTAGCTACACAAATAGGTAAAAGGAAACACATGACTCTGAAGATACAGAATACCCTCCCTGTCACTTTCTTATAGCTTCACACATCCAAATCACAGAAATTCAACTATGTCTCTTTTATTCATATATTGTTTACATATCTTCCTTTGAGATTAAGAATTAGCAGGGGTGCCTGGGTGGCTTAGTCGGCTAAGTGCCCAATTTTGGCTCAGGTCATGATCTCATGGTCCGTGGGTTGGAGCCCTTCTGTCAGCTCTGGGCTGTCAGCTCAGAGCCTGGAGCCTGCCTCAGATTCTGTGTCTCTCTCTGTGCCCCTCCCCCACTCATTCCCCCCCCCCCTTCAAAAATAAACATTAAAAAAAATAATTAGCAATGTAATCATGAAGTCAAAATTGATTTTCATATCCTAAAATTATCAAGAAAATATTTGTGGGATCAACTGGAGTACTTAGATCTAAATGCAAAACATGAAGGGAGAATAATTTTTATTGCCAGCAGTATCCAAAAGCTTCTAGACCAAAAGAAAATGGCATATTTTTAAACTAAGGAAATGAGCTATTATTATAGTTTGGTTGATCAGAAACTGCAGATGCTAGATGGAATGTTAGAGACTCATTAGATGTACCTTATAATAAGTGAAAACAAGAGAGCTAAGATAGTTTATTACAAAACCCGTGGTATCAGCTACTGATCTTTTCTATAGAATGAGTGATGTAAATGTGTTGAGTAACACTGCTTTGCATTCAGGACATAGTACATAACAATTTGGGAGACTGTAAACTCATTCTCCTTGATCCCTTATTTACCTAATTTTTTTCTTTGTATCTATAGTCACTTCTGGTGTAATTTGGTAGCTTCACAGACACTGAGGCTGCTGCACCAACCTGAACACCAGCTCTGAGAGCTCATGCCCCCTCAGATATTTCATACTTCCTGAGTTTCATATTTTTTTGGCAGTAAACCATGAGATGGGAGCACACTGATATATGACTCTAAAATAATGAAACTGGCATCTTGGGGAATGTCATACCTTATACATGTGTTTGAAGTTTCTGGTTACAGGTGATTTCACTCATATGTGGAATTTACAAAACAAAGGGAATGAGAAAAGAAAGAAAAATAGAGAGAGACAAACCAAGAAACATACCCTTAATTGTAGAGAACAAACTGATGGTTACCAGAGGGGAGTTAGGTGGAGAAATCGGGGAAATTGGAGTTGGGGATTAAGGAGGGCACCTGTCCTTACGAGCACCGAGTGATGTGTGGAAGTGTTGAATCACTATATTGTACACGTGAAACTAATATAACACTGTATGTTAACTAAATTGAAATTAAAAATTTTAAAAACTTACCACAAAGTTTGATAAATTTAATGTCCCACAAAATCCTCTTCAGTTTCATGACAGAATAAATTAAACTTACTGTTTAGTACAAACAATAAGCCCTTCATGTAAAAGAGTCTAATTATTACGACTTTAATGTGAACTAGATGCTCTCTTTTTAATATTTATTTATTTTTGCGAGAGAGAGAGAGAGAGAGAGACAGAGGAGAGGGAGGAGGGGCAGAGAGACGGCGGGGGCAGCGGGGGTGGGTGGAGTGGAGGGGGGTGGTCAGAGGACTGGAAGCAGGCCCTGTGCTGACAGCAGAGAGCCTGATACAGGACTCAGACTCAGGAACCGTGAGATCATGATTTGAGCCGAAGTCGAACACTTAGCTGACTGAGCCACACAGGTACCCCCCCATGTTCTTACTTTCCACTTTCTTAATTCCCAGTTGGTAATTATCATCTGTGTGCACTGCTTGCCCTCATTGCACACGTGCACACACACCTCACCCTCAACCCTCTGAGGACCAGGACTGTTTTCCACCCTCCTCAGCCCCTGGACTCTCCTGCTTCAGTTCTCTGTTGGGCTCACTCCTCCCACCTCAGTGGTCCCTGAAGCATGTCCTTGCCTGGTGGGAGGTTGACGCTGAGCTTCCCCCACCTGTGGCACTCTATGTGAAACTAAAGGGCCCAGTAGTGGAGAGTAGTTGACAGGCACCCTGGGAAACGGGGGCCTCAAACACCAGCATCCTCCAGCTTCTGGGGACAGGGAAGTCCTCCAGAGAGGCCGGCTGGGATTAGATTAGCATGGCCATTGTGCAGCAAAAGTTGCCCCGTTTCTCTATGTGTCCGCTATGAACTTGACACTTTGATTCTTTATGGGGTACCAAGTGGAGCTCTAAGTATATTTAATCTTTTCCTAAATTATTCATGCACTCGTAGCTACCAGCAAGGCTACCTGAACAAATGACATGAAATGTGTTATTTTGCTACCCACTTAATAGATGAATTAGATCTTTTATTCAAAAGGGTTTATTTGAGAGGACTCAAATACTCCATTTTTCTACTCAATTTTTAATTTTCAGAACTCAAGTAGCGAAGTACATCTGTTGTTTCACTTGACCTCCGTATCCCGCTGTGTCTTTATGTGTAAAGGATGGTGAACTGGGAACCTCTGGGTGGACAGTGTGATCAGCATGGCGTTCAGCACATTGATGCAGAGCACAGCAGCTGGGCCGTGCTGGCCTAGTGGGCTGGGAATTTACTTTTGCAGCAAGAGAGTAATAAGCAAACCTAAAGCAGAGGAACCACTGCTGGTGTTACACTCTAATATTTGTTTTCTTTTCATTAGATTTTTGAAGACTATGAGAAATTGCTTCAGTCTGAGAATTATGTGACTAAGAGACAATCTTTAAAGGTAATATCAAATTGCTTAAGTTAGTCTGTGTTGGTTGATGTTTTGTTAGTAAATGATGGCCTCTTAGTGGACAAGTACATATGGGAAAAATTAAAGTGTCCCCCCCCACTTTATTTTTGTAACTTGAAAAGTATGCTTCATGTTATGACTGTACTTTGTAGCAAAACAATGTTGTGTCCTGCCTCGACTACTTTTTGGAAGTAATAACATAAAAATAGTAAGTGCATGATAAAGTAGAATTTCGTATATTTCAGCTCAGAAAGAAAGTCAAACCTAAGTTAATTTAAATAAAACCACAGTTCTCTCCTAAGGGGATATTTTCTGGAGATGAAAAGAAATCACTCTTAGCTTGAAACTAAGATCTGAATTACTGTTTATAAGGAAGAAACAGCAAAGTTCTCCTGTAGTTCTCTCTCTTTTTTTTTTTTTTAATGTTTATTTATTATTTTTGAGAGAGAGAAACAGAGTGTGAGCTGGGGAGGGGCAGAGAGAGAGGGAGACACAGAATCTGAAGCAGGCTTCAGGTGCTGAGCTGTCAGCACAGAGCCCAATGCGGCTTGAACTCACAAACCCAGGGCTTGAACTCACAAACCGTGAGATCAAGATCTGAGCCAAAGTCCAGTGCTTAACCGCTTAACTGACTGAGCCACGTGGACACCACTTCTGCAGTTCTCTTTCAGTGTATCTTGAAACAGAAACCAAAATGACCGTATTTTTCTTATACATCTATATAATGTAGACTTTGTAGGGTATTTTTCAGAGAAGGGGGGAAGAAAAGGTGACATTGACAAAATATAACACATCAAATGCAAGATTAAAGTTTCCCTCTAAGTTTATGACATTACTGGAGAAATTCTGGATATATTTTCAATTGAGAGGGAAGACAACTTTCTACTATGAAATGGTGCTTATAGAACTGAAACATTATGGGGCTCCTGGGAAGCACTTACCCCCAGATTTGTAACATATTTTTCTAAAGATTTGTTTTTTAACTGCATTGCATTACTGGGTTCCATTCTCTGAGCATTCTTGTTAGCGTTTTACTACAGGTCATTTTTAGAGGTACCTCCACCATTTAACATGTTCAAACTGTATTTCCAACAAAGATGCTGAAATATGAAACATGCTTATTCTTTAAGAGTTAAAAGAATAATCTTTAATAAAGTGGCTGTAATAAACAGATATGTGAGAAGACTACATGATCAAGAACACAAAACTGTGCTTTTCTAAAAATTGCCACTATTACACCAAAACAGACTCTGGAAAGAGGTCAAAAGATGATATCACTAGCTGGAAAAGAAAGTAAAGTCAATGCTCAATTATCTGCAAATAGCTTTAGTTGGATGAATTACTGGGGGTGATGAGAGGGGTAAAAGGGCACTCCATTTGGCCAACAAATATTTATGTGCTCCTATTCCTGACATTACGGTGACAGCCAAGAACAAAATGAAGTCGCATCTCAATGGACCTTACATTCTGCCAAGGAGAACAGACAATTGATAAATAAACAGATAAAAATGAAATTTTCAGGTGATTTTAGAACAGTTATGCAGGGCAAAAGGGCAGGAAGTGATGAATGAAGGGATAAATGTGTGTGTGTGTGTGTGTGTGTGTGTGTGTGTGTGTGTGTGTGTGTGTAAACAGTGGCATTTACTATTGGAGAGTATATCACCTATGAAATACCTGTGCAAGTTTGCTTTCCCTCATGAGGCAGGAAGCCCAGCAGAGTACGGCCGCCACGTAGTCGGTGAGTGGCCTTCCCTCCTTCAGTGAAACAGTGCCTGGAAGCAGCCATTTGGCCAGGAGGAGGTGGGGCTGCCCCTGTGGGAGTAGAACATGAGTTAGAGCTGTGTCCCTACCCTTCAGATCTCACTCAGATATTCCAAAGAATGTTTTTGGCAGATAATAATTGGCTGGTTTTGTCAAGCAGTTTGTATGATTTGGGGGTTTACTAAATATCACCTGTATTATGTTTACATGTTGGGATGACATTAATAGAACAATGTGTTTATTTCTAAATATTGAATACAGTTTTAACTAAAGTGATGACATAAGCCCATTTTGTATCACATTTTTGTCAGTTCATTTTACCCATGATTTTGCCTTAGCTGTGACCTGCCTTCCCCTATATTTGTGCCCTCGCTGCTCCAGTGGTACCCATTGTTGGAGGGGTCAGTGAGCTATTTTCAGCCAGTCATTCAGCACCTTTTTATTGAGTTTCCCCTTGCATGGAAACCCGTACAAGCTGATCTGTGTAGAAAATATACCATGGTTTCACTGCTCTTTTTCTGGAGCCTGGACTGTTGAGATAGAGCTTCCAACAAAGGCAGTGACATTATGCCATGCTCTCCCAAGTCCAGAAAGCTTGTTAAAAGCAGCTGAAGATAAGGCTGCATCCTGTTGGCATACCTGTGTAGTACCTAAAGAATAGAATTCCCGGGGCGCCTGGGTGGCGCAGTCGGTTAAGCGTCCGACTTCAACCAGGTCACGATCTCGCGGTCCGTGAGTTCCAGCCCCGCGTCAGGCTCTGGGCTGATGGCTCAGAGCCTGGAGCCTGTTTCCGATTCTGTGTCTCCCTCTCTCTCTGCCCCTCCCCCGTTCATGCTCTGTCTCTCTCTGTCCCAAAAATAAATAAACGTTGAAAAAAAAAAAATTTTAAGAATAGAATTCCCTATTTGCTAAGGCTCCACAACGACAGCCAAAACAGAGGAGCTGCTGCTCTGTATTATAAGAGATCATCGCCCTCGGAGGGAAGTAGAAATTGAATAGGAAACAGAGACAACAGTGCTCTAAGGGGCCAGCATGTAAGAAATAGCTCATACATTTTCCAAATCCTTCCTCTTTTTAGTGAGAATCTATGACACCCTGAACCAAAGTAGCGACATTGGTATGAACTAAGGTGATGGGACTAAAGTGGGATCCAGAAAGGTGAGGGTCATAGACTTTAGAGTTTATCTTTGTGCCATTTTCAGCAGTGACAGGAATTCATGATAGAAATTTTTCTGTGATCGACGATCTCTAGAGCCTTAGGTGAAGTTATAAAGTAACAGTTGTTCATCTAAACATCTGGGCCTCTTGTTTTTTCTGTCATGCTACCTTATCATCTCCTACCCATGGGCCCATTGCCCTCATTCTGTTCTCAAGCCCCACCTTGTCCTGTCCCCTTGTTAATAGACATAAAGTGGTTAGAGCAGAGCCTAGCTCATGTTAAGAAGTAGATATTTGTTCAATAAAATAAAAATAAATTTTATAAGTAAATATTCCTCTCCTGTCCTCAGTGCTCAATCTCTAGAAGGTGGTCTATTCTAAATAAATAATTGAGACTAGGGTATGAATTAGACTGATACCCTAGCAGGATGCATTTGCATTTGAAAACAGAAGCAGTGGATATGTGATTGGTACAATCTGTAATACAAATCTGGTGGGTAGCACAGGGGAGTGAGAAGGTCCATTCTTCACTGCTGTCTACTGCTCCCCCTCCCCCCCTCCACTGTTCTGCCCCCTTCTCACATGGCTCTGAGGCTAGACACCTCTACTCTATTTCCAGCGACACAGGCAAGGAGCAACTGAGTTTGTATCTGGTATTGAAACTCTCCCTTTTCCACTTGATTGTGCTTCCTACTTATTCACAGATGCCCCAGCCCATGCAGAAGGCCTCTTTCCTGTTCTTTATTAATCCAGCCAGATGTACTACATTGGCTGCTACTCTTGCCTAAAATCTTTTATAGTGGAGTATCTCATAAATGTTTTGTTTACAGTGTGATAAAACTGAGCACTGGTTGGACACCAAACAAACCAAAACAAAACAAAATGAAAACTAGTAAAAGACATATAAAGCAGGGTGCCTGGGTGGCTCACTTGGTTAAATGTCTGACTCTTGATTCCGGCTCAGGTCATGATCTCACAGTTGTGAGTTTGAGCCCTGCATTGGGCTCTGCCCTAAGTGTGGAGCCTGCTTAAGATTCTCTCTCTTCTTGCTGCACACGTAGAAAACTGATTTGAGGATTAACACAACAATCTGCACAACCCGAACCACAGAACTCAGCAGGTACGCAGCGCAGAGAGGTGAACTGAGGGAGAGAGAAGCCACAGAGGGCAGGGAGGTGTTTTTGCTTGTGGAGAGAGGACAGAGACGGGATGGGGGTGGGGTGGGGGGTATTATGGAAAAAGCACTCTCCCCCAAAAGCAGTTGGAGAAAAAGTGGGAAAATGGAAACGGCCACAGGGACTGAACTAAAAAGGGAGAAAGGAGAAAGGAGAGGGTTTAAATTCCACTAAGACTCTCTAAACAGGGGGGATCGCAGACTCTGAAATTCTGCAGCTCAATACCTGGCAGTGCTCTGGTGAGAAGGGCGAATCCTCAGGAGCAGAGTGAAGTCAGGGGTCTTCGGGCCACACGGGGAAAGGTGGTTCCCCTGCTGGGGAGGCTGTGCGGCCACCCGGTCCCAGCAGACCCCAGAGGACAAACACATTCGCTACTCCAGGAACAAGGTCATTAAAGGTGAAGCGTGGTGCCAGAGGTGTGTTGTGATTTTCCATAATCCCTGAAACGCTGCTGCTACACTATTTCGTGAACTTTTTCTGGGGCGGGCTGGCACCTGGCCGCAGTCTCGGGGCACCAGCAGCAGCACAATTCCGCGAAAAGTTCCTGGGTGCAGCCGGCACCCAGCCATTGCTCGGTGAGATCCTCCCCCAGAGGGTCTGAGCCGGTTAAAAGCCGCAGTCCCTCAGAAGTGAGGAGTCGGGAAGCACAGCCGATTTGAGATAAAACTCAGGAGGGAGGTGCCGCCTGGCAGCCTGAAGGCTTGGTCACAGACAGTGTAAAAGCAGGGAGTGCTCCAGCTTCTGGAGACAAAGGACAGGTGCGCTATTGCTGGTCGGGTAGAGCAGAGTTCCGATTTGGAGATTCGGTTCCCGCGT